ATAATGCTAGACCAATGCAATTAAAATAATTAGAAAGCATGATAGGCTGATTCAAGAGATTGTATAATGAAGCAAGGGAGAAGGGAGCTAGAAATTACTGTTGGGTCAGCCGATCAACAATATTCACCTCACTGAGGTATTACAGATAAGGGAACTAAGACCAAGAGAGATTAAGTAATTTTTTCAAGATTAAAAAAAAACTAATAGTGATGTTTTCAGGCCATTTCCAAGTTTATTAAAGGCCTGGTGATATAGTAAGAAGTAAATATGAGCCTCAGACACAGCAAAGAATTGCCTTATGTGATGGTAGTCAGAACTGAGAGTGCCAATGTGGTCACTTCCCTATTCTGGATTCCTCTGACCTGTCTGCTTTCTCACTCTCTGCAGGCTGTGCCACTGCCAAACTTCAGTATCACCATAGTGAGAAGTAAGGAAGTAGACAGAGGGGAGCTGTAGTCAGTCACTCATGTCCTTATCTCATATATCCTTTGTATTGCTTCTTTGTTGGTTTGATAGTAACCTGTACCAAAAGCAACACAAGTAAAGTCATCTTTCTTGCCCATTTCTGAAATTAGGTCAGACTTCACTAACAGAGTCAGGATTTAAACTAAAATTGTCTGACTCTAGAGCCTATACTCTTAAAAACTTGTTAACTGCCTCCCATCTAAGTTGTAATATCCATATGTTTACACAATCCTTGAGAGCACCTAATTTTTTACTGGTTTATAATTTATTTTAAAACAACCATTAAACAAAGGTATTTAACAAAAGCATTACAAATACTGAGGAAACCAAGTTATTGCACATTCTGACATAAATACTAAATGTAAGATGCCAAAAGGTTCACTTTATTGGGGGTACCAAAGTGAAAATGTAAATAATTCACTGAGTTATCCTCAAATTGAAATAAATGGACAGCTCTAGAGAAAGCTTATCACAAGGGAAAGCTCTGAAGATAGGCTACTATAATTTTGGTAAAGTTATTAAATTATTATTCATAATAGTAAATCAAATATATTAAGTTATACAAACATCAACTTCATAAGGCATATGAGCATTTATCTTTAATAAATTGCTTTCACTTATCCTTTTTATTATTTCTTTTATTTATACTAATGAATTGGGGAACATAGTATAATATAATCACTATAACAGGATTCCAGTATTAGGTCTGTTGCTATGTAGTTGCTGACCTTAAATATCAATTAACTTCTGAGGAACAGATTTTTCTCATGCATAAAATAAAGTATTTTTCTAGACTACTAACGTTGAGGTATTTAAAGACTATTTTCATTGCAAAATTTTCAAACATTAAAAGTTTCTAAAGATTAAAAAGCATTCTAAAAGTACAAGATATAAAAGGATGAAAACTGTCATTGTAGATTTTATGGTTATGAAAAAAAGAATATATAGTCAAATTACTAGAATTAATAAGAGTTTGGCAAGTTGCTAGAACAATAGATAAAAACCAACTGCATGCATAGCAATAAAAATTAGAAAATGTATTTTTGGAAAGATAGCATTTATAATATCAACAAAAAATAAAATAACTTTAAAAATCTACCAAAGATGTTTATGGAGAAAATTAATTATAAAACTTAATCAAATGCTATTAAACACATAATTAAATGGAGATATACCTTATTCATAAATTGAAAGATTTAATATGAAAAAGAAATCCTTTCTCACCAAATTAATCTGTAAACACACTGCAATGCAAATGAAAATCCCAACAGAAATTTTTAAGAACTTGACAAATTGATTCTAAAATTAATATGGAAGAACAAGACCACTCTAAAAAAGAACACAGTCAAGAAAATCAAGTTACTGGATATAAGAATAGTGACAGGAGTCAAGACACTGTGGTATTGGTGAATAAACAGTTTTCAACATCCCAAAACCTTCCTATGTATTGATAAATCAATAAAGAATTTCCCCTATCATCCATGGAGTGGTTACTCCATGGTCTTCTGTCTTGCAAATTGGTCCTACGTACTATCTAAACATAAAAGCATGAAAGTAGTGGCCAAAATGCTCCTTTTACTTTGTCACTAGTCTCCTCAGAACACATTTCAACTTCCTAACTAAATGTTTCCCTATTTAAGATATTATACACTTCTCCACCAGGATCATTATGTGGAGTGACAGACAGATCAGCTGCCAATGTGTGACTAAAATGACAGATTGTTCATGATACATAAGTATCCATATTCAAACATTATTATTTATATTTTTAAGGAGTATATGAGAAAAAACTGTTGGGAAGTGACAAGGAGACAAGAGAAAGAACATTCAAAGGCAAGAGTTAAAATTATCTTCACAATAACTACAACTATATATTGTAAATTATTTACAAAACACAGTTTCTATAGTTCCAGTCCTTTTGTTCATAAAAAAAAATGAGGCAAAAATCATAAAATATAACAATATATTAAAATAATATAAAAATCATAATAGAACAAGTTTAAAATTGTATATATTTAATTATTTGGAAAATTGTATAAACTAATTATAATGGCTTAAAAATAAAATCAGTGATCTCCCTGTACAGAGTAATCTATGAAGTTATACATAGTAAAACAAAGAAAAGAAAAAATATATCGCTAGGAAAGCAAAACACAGGACATGCTAGGTGTTCTAGGTTCCAGAGCATTTCTCTTATATCACAGCTATCTCCTCCTCTTGAAATTAAAACAGTTAATATTTATATAGTATTTAGAGAATTCTTTCAATATACATTACCTCATTTTATGAAAATCTATAGATATTGGTATAACATATACACTCATTTAAATACGTTATTAAATTCTAGCTGGGCTAAATGGTCAAAAATAGAAATGAGAGTGACCAAATATTGTGACACAGATGTCCCAACTAACTGACAAACAACATTGTGAGCTGGAATTAACAAAGCAATACTTAAAAGCCTGAAGCCTGGCTGAAAATTTTGGATTTGTTGGAAAGACAATAGAGAGTCACTGCACATTCTTGATGAGAGAAGTAAAGAGATGAAAGCAGTGTCTGAGAAAGATAATTCTAACAGTTGTGTGCAGGATGAGTTGGACGGAAAAAGAGACTAGAAGCAGAGAATAAACAGCCACAAAGCTGCTGAAGTACAGAAGCATGTACTATAGCTACAATGTATGCTGAAGGACAGAAGCATGAAATACATGAAGCATAAAATAATAAAGACTTAGACAACAGTAAAAACTTATAAAACAAAATAAGAAAATGGGAAAGTCGAGGGGGCATTCCTTCTATTTATTTAAGTAATATTAACTATTTTCACAATCCCCCAATCACTACATTCAAGACACAGATACACATTTCAGAAATTAGTAAGATATTTAAATGACAAGTGTACATAATTATACCCATCTCCAAAGATTGTCCTAAGAATAAAATGAGATAATGTATATTAAAAGAATTCTCTTTTGGTTGGTTTAAATTCAATTCCCTGCTTCCAAAAAACCATAATAGCCATGCCCTTTTCTATATTATTTTAATGAATTATTTACAATAAGATTGCTGAAATATCTTACAAATGCTCCTTAGACAATATATAATGTTAGCATGAAGAGCAACAGTCAAAAGCTACATTACCAATATGATTTCAAAAACAATAGTAACAATTACTGATTTTTTTTAATTTACAAAAATATTACCAGAATTCACATAACTAACCAAATAGCTCCCACTTCTAATATTTATTACTTGAGAAAGAAATTAAAAGGGACAAGAGATGAAAAGTAAAAAATGTATCCTGAGGGAACTTAAATGGTAGAAGGGTAGGAAATAACCATGGTTGAAGTTAACTTATCTTGGGCAAGGCTCTTATGGACGTCTATTTCACAGAAAGAAAACAATTTGAGGTGCCCTGGTAAGACTGCTACACCCATGCATCCATAAGTATGAGTTAAGGAATAGTCTATAAAATTGATTGTAGAGAACTTTTAGCTCAGTAGGGTTTAAGAAACGAGATTAAAAGAGAATACATATTGCCTTTGCCCCACCGGAGTCAGAGCTCCAACTGTGTCCATTGCCCAGACAGTGCACACCGCATACATTAGGTGTGTATATGCCCATCCATTCCTCTCTCCTCCCTTCTGCTCGACACCCGATGAATGTTATTACTATATGTGCACTGAAGTGTTGATCACTTAATACCAGTTTAATAGTGAGTACACGTGGTGCTTGTTTTTCCATTCTTGGGATACTTCCCTTACTAGAATGGGCTCTAGCTCTATCCAGAATAATATAAGAGGTGCTAGATCACTATTGTTTTTTGTGGCTGAGTAGAATATACCACATTTTATTAATCCACTCATGGATTGATGGGAACTTGGGCTGTTTCCACATCTTTGCAATTCTGAATTGTGCTGTTATAAACATTCTAGTGCAAATGTCTTTTTTATACAATGTCTTTTTTAACTTTGGGTAGATGCCCAGTAATGGGATTGCTGGATCAAATGGTAGTTCTGCTTGTAGCTCTCTGAGTTATCTCCATATTATTTTCCACAGAGGCTGTACTAGCTTGCAGTCATACCCACAGTGTATGAGTGTTTCTATCTCTCCACATCCATGTCAACATTTATTGTTTTGGGACTTTTTGATAAAGGCCATTCTCACTGATATAAGTGATATCTCACTGTGGTTTTGATTTGTATTTCCCTGATGATTAGAGATGTTGAACATTTTTTCACATGTTTGTACGCCATTGGTCTATTTTATTTTGAAAAGTTTCTGTTCATATCATTTGCTCACTTTTTGATAGGGTTGTTTGATTTTATATTGCTGATTTTCCTGAGTTCTATATAGATTCTGGTTATCAGCCGTTTAACAGATGTATAGCATGTAAATATTTTATCCCATTCTGTAGGTTGTCTGTTTGTTCTCATGGCAGTTTCCTTGGCTATGTAGAAGCCTTTTAATTTCATTAGGTCCCATTTATTTATTTTTGTTGTTGCTATGATTGCCTTTGGGTCTTCTTCATAAATTCTTTGCCTAGGCCAATGTCTATAAAAGATTTGCCAACATTTTCTTCTGGAATTCTTACAGTTTCAAGCCTTATATCTAAATCTGTTATCCACCTGAGTTAATTTTTTTTGGGGGGTTTAAAAAACTTTATTCCAAACAATTACCCAAAAGTATGTTAACTCTGAAACATTTAACAGATTTCACTTAACTCAGTCACAAAACTCAAAATATTAAACAAAAATAGCTTTATGTGCTTAACTACTTTTAAAAATGAAATTTTAAGAGGAAACATGTAGACACTCCCATATAATTTGGGAACCATTAGGCAACAAATATTAAGCAAAAAGCACTAAAAACTAAAAATTCTCAAATTTCGAGAGAATGCCTGTTCAAGTCTTTGATATGCATTTATTTGCACATGAGAAAGCAAATATTTTAAAAGAAACCAGATTTGAGTGCTTACCCTTTCTTCACATAATCTGTCCACCCTTCATTTTATGACTGCATACCCCTCACTCTACCATACTTCTTAGTTCAACATGATTGGCTTCACTGAAGTAAGCCCTATAGATCCCATTTCATATATCCCATCTACTGCCATCATTCCCTTACATGTTTGCACAGCCTTATACCAAGTATCACCATTGTAATTGAGCTGGGGAACTTCAGGTATCCAAAGGCAACAATATATACACAATAGTGTTTATTGCACAGTTCACAATATGTAGCAGGTGATTACAGAGCCAACCATATTAAGATGTGTATCAATCAACTATTTAGACAAAAATATCAACTTCATCTCTAAGCACAAATGAAACAAAGACACAAATATGCCACCATATAAAGGTTGTGTTTATTCTGTGGTGCAGTCCTGAAGGCTCATACCACTCTAACCATGTCAAATACAGAATCTATAATATTTCTGGTGGCATCAGACAAAAAGTATGACACAGAAGTGTCTTGCGCTCATGAGCTGTTTGTGCCACATATGTAACAGAAAGGCCACTTTTAAAGCTTTTCAGATAGTTGTTCAATCGTGTTTGCCTTTTCAAAATTATTACCACAGTAGTTCACACTGAAGGTAAAAACAATAGTTAGAATTTCTAAATAACACATTTTGACTTAAAGTTCAAAGTTGTTGGTTACAAGTTCTGTTCAATTGTTTTGTCAAATTTAAGAAGTCTATAGGACAACACAAAACCATCTCTGGTAATGTATTTGCAGTTTGGTCTTCAAAAGCTCGTAAGCTGTTTTTCTCTTGAGTTCTGCCCCTTTGTCATATGCTTGGGTTTTATGAAGACTATCCATTGTAACTGCTGAGAGCAGAGAAGCAAGACATGGAGTAAAGTAAGCTTGAGAAATCCCGGGGCTTAGGGGCCTTTTCCCTGGCTGGTCCTGGCCATTTATGTTCCAATACAGAAGGTTTAGACTGTTTCGAGAAAAGGAATCATATGTTGGGTATTAGGCTCCCTATCAAAGGCCATCAGATGGACAGCTATTTAGCAGGTAATTGGCCTACAGTTCTTGGATAATGATTTTAAAAAAGCAAAACAAAAAACCTTAAACTTTCCCACTGAAACTTTTTATTCTGTTTTTGTTTAAGGAAAACAGCTTTGCCCATAACTCACTGTGGCCTGGACTTAAGACACCAACTTGTAGTTGGCCAATTAGGAAAGAGGCCAAACTGCATTCTTCTTAGGCATTCAGTTGATAAATGGCACTTAACTGATGATTTTTTTCATATAATCTTTAACAAGAACTCATAAGTCGCATTGATTATGCCCCAAGAGATGAGGGACTGATGGTAATTCAGATGGACACCCCTGAAAAGATTTGTCACTTTCCTGTCCCGTTCTAGCCAGATTTTTTTGAAAACCTTGGGGAAAGACTGAAATTCCCCACCAATCTGAGACTGTATGCGAGTTTTTACAACATTAACTGGAAAAAACAAGAATCCCAACATGGCACCCAAAAGACCTCCACAGATAAAATCGTTGACCAAATTAGCACTGTGAGACGTTGCGCGGTAGGCAGATGCTCCTTAATGGGACCTCGAAGGCCAAAAAAAAGGACATTGCTGATTCCATTGCGGAAAAGAATGGGCACCAAGCCTCGATAATACTCTCTAATTCCGTGGTATTTTAGGGCCTTGAAAGCCTGGTAGTGTTTGTAAATTTGTCATGATGCTTGTGATCTTGAAGCAATGTCTGAACTCTTTCTAATGGAATGAAAATTGCTTCTGTTGTCCCTGCCAGTACTGCTGCCACGCTGCGGGTTGCAAACTCCGGAGCACTGACATGCTTGCGGAGAAGGCAGGATAAATCCTCATACAGACCAAACATAAGTGCCAGTGTGGTTGTTTTTTGCATTAACGGGGGAAGCATTCCACGATATAAGTTTCGAAATCCATCCCTCCTCAACTGAAGTATCGCATCCCGGGTTTTGATGCCATATAGTTGTTGCCGAAAAAGGACCTTCTGAACAGGAAATGTGATTGCTACATTGTTGAAAGCTGCACAGCAGCCACACAAGTAATGCTTCATTTCACCAAAATTTGTAATGTGAGGTGATACATCTTGTTTTAAAGATTTTAGAATTGGTGGCCTCTTGTCATGAGCTTCTGAATCCATCATGTTGCTTAAGATTTTTATTCTTCATGAAGAATTTTTTTTAACCTGTAATACCATCTGGGCTTGGTGTTTTGCCAGATGACAGCTTTTTGATAACTTTCCCAATTTCTTCCATTGTTATTGGTCTGTTAGGTTCTCTCTTCTGGAGTCAATATTGATAATTAGATTTCCGTTCTCCAGGCGTCCATTTCCCCAACCCATCGCCCCAGGCGTCCCTCAAGACCGCGAGTGAGCGAGCCCGCAAGCCGGCACCCGCACAGGCGCAGACCCTGAGTTAATTTTTGTGAGAGGTGAAAGGTGCAGATCCTGTCTCAATCTTCTACATGTGGCTATCCAATTTTCTAGCATCATTTGTTGAATAAGGCTATTCTTTTCCCCAGCATACGTTTTTGTCTACTTTGTCAAAGATTAGATGGTTATATGAGGATGGTTTTAAATCTGGGTTCTCAGTTCTGTTCCATTGGGCTATGTCTCTGTTCTTATGCCAGTACCATGCTGTTTCAGTTACTATAGCCTTGTAGTATAGCTTGAAGTCTGATAAATTGATGCCTCCCAATTTGTTCTTTTTGCTTAAGATTGCTTTTGCTATCTTCTCTGGTTCCATACAAAGCATAGAATTATTTAACCTCAACATTTGTACCCCCATAATGTGTTGAAATAAAAAAAATTTTTAAAAGGGAAAAAAAAAAAAAGAAACTAATAATAGTAATGATGGTGATATCTTGGGGGGGACATACATATTGAAATTTTTCTTTTATCAAACTTTGAGCATATAACCATGTCAATAAAAACAATAAATAATAAATATTTCAGCACCAGAAAAAATAAATAAATAAATAATATGCAAGTCTTAAAAAAATGAGACTATAAACAAACAGTATTCATAAATGTTTCCTTTCTAGTCTAGACCAATGAAGTTCCATTTAGCTATGGTTCTTTAGCACACTATTCATTCACTCATTCATTCTGCACAATATACCAAAGAATACACTGTAGATGAATACACAGTATTACATCCAGATCCAGCCTTGCAGCAATGAGATCAACACATACAAGTAAGTACCATAAGAGAAGTATAAATATTATTTCTGCAAGAAGTACCAAGAAAGCTTTAGAGAATACATAGACTGAATTTGAACATCAGAAAACTAGAAATGAGGGAGAAAGAAAAGAACTATAGGAGAAGAGACCAGAGTAAGGCAATGGACAGAGACCAATACAGGGATTAACAAAAAGAAATGACTAGAGCATAAAGGATTGAAATGAAAATATCAGAATGTCAGATTTGAAACTAGACTGCAAAAAGCCTTGAGGATAAGAGATCTGAACTTTATTCTGCATACATATTTTATCAGAAATAAAAATTTCTGAATAAGGAGAGATGAAGAATAAAAGCTTTAAATTAGGAAAATTTGTCTTACATAATGATTGAAATATAGAAAAATAGTGTCAGGTAGATTCAGAAAAGCTACTGGATTTAACTATAGAAACAGTGTATCAGTTTCTATAGCTATGTAGATTCTATAGTACATAATAGTTTATGTAGTAAATAACTAAATAACTATATAATAGTTTATGTAGTATAGGGATCACTACATAAATTCACAACCACTCCACCAGTAGTAGAGCTAAATCATATTTTAAGAAAAATTATATAGACATTTTACTCCATGAACTTAATCTTATGTACTCAGACACCCCTCCAAAAAGGAAGAAAAATCTCACACAACTTAATACTAAATGCATTTATTCCCCAGAGTAAACATGAAAGGGAGCTGATTCTACATTCCTTCAGTTCCCATGTGCCTCTCACAGCATGAAAGACACAATTCTAGTGTTATAGATATGTATATTTTTCATATAACATGGCTCCTAATCATAAGTAAGTCACTTTATCAAGTGCTCAAAGAAAATAGTAATCCGTTCTAACACTGCAGGAAAAACCTGGTGAGGAAAGACAATATTACACTATAATTTATGTGCTATTTAAGAAAATTTCTAGAGTTATTTTGGCTGTACTTTTGCTTCACATACTGACTTCAGAACCTAATCCCTGCTTAATGCCTTTCTCCTCCTCATCTTAATCATTTTAAGCATATTGGAGGTAGCTAAACAGGGATTTAGTCCAAAACAATTATTTGAGGGCAGAAAATTGCCTAAAGATAGAGAAACATTTCAGGAAGCTAAAACCAGGCAAATAAAAACAAAATCTCCAAGGACTGGGTAAGGTTACAGAGAAAGTGTGGGCACAAAATGCAAAATACCTCTCCTGAATGGAGCTTAGGTATAAAATTGATAATAGTCAAGTTGGAGAGCACTTATGAAGGTCTTGTGTGTCTTTTCACCTTTCCCTAGAACCATTAATATCCCTTTTTCCTGAGCCAATATTTTGAAATAATATTATAAAATTCTGACACCTATTTATTAAAATGTCTTTAATTTAAATGTCAGATTAACATGCTTTAAAACTTAGACTAACAAAATTTAGGGGATATAAATATTTTTACTTTTAAAGTACAAAGTTTAGAAGTAATTTTAAAGTTTAAACGTTTAAGTGTTTGCTTTGAACAACTGATAAAATATTTCCAAGTCACGCATTTATTTATTTATCCAACACCTGCTGAGTAGAATCTTTTCTATTGATTTCTATTCATTCAATACCAAATGGCTTAAATCACCAATTGCTTAAATCCCCAATTGACTCCCTTAACAATGACTTCATACACAGAGATATAGACAAGCAATCATTTGAGACAAAAATAAGCTTTTAATGAAGATTATTCAGAAACCTAGGAACAAATCTACTAAACCTAATATACAAAATACATCCTATTGCTACCTTCTATCTCTAAAAATTCCCTCCAAATCATACTCAAGCCATTTAAATGTATCTTAATGATTCATAAAATAGACAAAGATTAATTTGCCAATGTAAAAACTATTGCCAAACCATGCATAGTCATTCTCTGGAGTTGTATACTGGATAGAGAAGCAAGAGTAGTTAAAAACTAAAAGACTAACCACATAGACCTATTTGAGAAGAACCAATTGACCAATAAGAATTATACCCATGTACTTAACAAATGAATCTTCTTCTCATACTTAATTTAATGTAATTTTGAAAATAGAAATATTAACTAGTTGCCTTAATTTTCAGATTAAATACAGAAATTATAGTATAGGTTTATCAGTTTCTCAGGCTTAAATGATCTATTTACAAGGAATATAACTATGTTTCCTGAGTCATTCACTGCTTCCTTTCTGTTCCTGCAGCACTTTATATATATCTCTATTTGTTTTTGCTGTGAGTATAACACTTGAATCCTGCAAGTAAGGTACTGTTATCACTACGTAACAAATGAAAAAACAGGCTCAGTATGGTGAAGTGACTTAACCAAAATCATCACTAAAGTCAAATTTCAAACTCATATCTGATTACAAAGTTCTTTCCACATTGCTTCACAGGTACTAAATGAATCAGACCTAAATAACTGAATTGACTACAGTTTCTTGCTAAAGCTGCTTTGGTAGCAGCAAAAGCAAATCTATCACAGACAAACCAAATGTAGAAGAAATGATCTGGATAAAAGTACAGAGGTGCTGCCTCACACTTGAACTCCCTCCCTACTAGCAGGAAATTTCCCACTTTATGAGTCTTCATATAAGGCAGAGCCCATCTTCCTACATAGAAGCTAACAATGCCACATACTCATTCTTCCAGTCACCCTGCGACACAGACATATTTGCTTAACCTAGACTCTGCCAATATGGCATTCTCACCTAGGACCCTGTAAGAGTTAGAGACAGTAAGAAGTTAGGACAGCAAAGTTGGATTTTGGCAGCAGGAGACAGTAGCAATATCAAATTTCCAAAGGCAACAGTAGCAGCTATGCAATGGTTGAGTCTAGCCTTTAGCAATATGCAACCGTATTATTGTCACCAGACTGGTTTTATGCCATGATTTTTAGCTATGTCTTTTCTGTTATCTAGTCTTCCTTGTTCCTAACTACTTAAGACTACATTCCTACCAATTTGGTGAACTAATCAATATGCTTTCAAAAATCACTTTTCTGCTTGAATCAGAACTGTATTCTGTTCCCTGCAATTAAAAACCCTGAATGAGGTATCTAACAATGAAATAAATAACTCTAAACAGTTATTTTCTTTTTTGTTTTTTTATTTTTTTTGAGACAGAGTCTCACTCTGTTGCCTGGGCTAAAGTGCCATGGCATCAGCCTAGCTCGCAGCAACCTCAAACTCCTGGGCTCAAGCAATCCTCCTGCCTCAGCCTCCTAAGTAGCTGGGACTACAGGCATGCACCACCATGCTCAGCTAATTTTTTTTATGTATATATTTTTTAGTTGTCCAACTAAATCCTTTCTATTTTTTTAGTAGAGACAGGGTCTCACTCTTGCTCAGGCAGGTCTCAAACTCCTGAATTCAAACCATACTCCTCCCTTGGCCTCCTAGAGTACTAGGATTATAAGCATGAGCTACCACGCCCGGCCAACAGTTATTTTTTTAAATCTTTTTTACCTCAGTATTTGATTGTTCTTTTATATAATTTGCCATTATGGTTTTAAGTTAACATATACTTTATACACAGTGGTATATTCTAACAACAACAACAAAAAAAACCTTCAAATCAGGTTTACCTTTTTCAAAAACAACATAAAAATACAAATATATAACAATCATCTAACAGTAATCTTTACTGAGTTTCAAAGTTAAGCTTCATTAAGGTTTCTTACCTGTCAGGAATACCGAGCCTCTTGACACTTCTATAAACAGAAAGAGTATTTGCAACATGTCGATAATTAAACCAGAATCGGGATGTACACACCTAAAGTATTAAAACAAAAATATTATTTTTATGCATCAAAATAAACCATGAACTTACAGAGTATTTTTCTTTAATTAAGATATAGAGATGTCTAAAGAAAGAACATGCCATAATTCAGGCTTAGAAATAGCAAAGAATATAGAGAATTGTCAATAAACCACTATCCCTAAAGAGAGGTCATTTATAACTAGTACTGAATTAATAAAGACCATTTTGCTTAAGAGAAAACAAATCTTTGGAGAATTTAATCAAATACTGAACCAATTCTGTTACTCTCAATTTCTGTGATTCTATAACATTCCTATTTCTAAAAATTAAATTCTTTAGAATCAAAGACAATGCTCATAATATCTTCATATAATAGAAAATAAAATTAGCCACACTGGGTTATATTTGTTTCACTATGGGTTGTTTCCTTAGTTGTAAGAAATTTAGGACACAGGCTAAAACATGACATACAATGCATTTTT